CTTTCTCTTTTTTTTTTTTTTTTTTTTAATTATCGAAATATTAAAAATTAAACGAAAGAAAGAAAACTTTGTAAAATGCTTTTTGATGAATGCACGAATTGGCGTACGTGGTCGCTATCAACGAAATAAATATAGTTGCGTCGAAAGAGATTTCATTTGACGAATCGGTATCGGCTGTCTATTAGCGAAACGAGGCAACGTTCTTCCGTAACTTTCTATCTTTCTCTCAGAAAATTGCCGTAAACCACGCTTTACGACATTTTGCACACGTTTTTACGCTATCGACGAAATACAGAAGGAAAATGCCGAGTTCTTAAGCAACGATTTACAATCGAACATGGTATTGCACGTGATGCAACGAGGAATTAAACGGAACAATTGGCCATTGTGAAACTCGCCGGCGCAATTTTCGCCCCGTGCAAACGAAATCGCCGATGGAACGTCGCGAAGTATAATGGACGTGGTCGTGTGCACGGGACAACTTGAATACGATGGAAATTTAATTACGAATCGCGCAGATTTAATTGCAATATCTTCGCTTAAATCTTTTGCTATCGACATTCTAATTTGTTCGTTTAACGACCACTCTGCAACATTTATTTCCAGGTACCGCGCTATCGCAGGATTTTTATTCTATCGCTATACGCATAATACTATGCTGTTACTATGATTTATCGGAAAATAATATCGATTTTCGTCGTAGCGTTTTAATCGTAGGACAAACGATTGGCTCGTCGCTTTTCCTATTGAGAAATAATGTAAAGTGATTGACCGAATAATAGAAGATATTCGACCGGTATATGCTTTATCTTCTTATACCAAATTATTCGATTTGTTCTTTCAGAGCTTTGAAATTTTCCTCCACTCTCTGTTTGATTAATCGATACACAGAATATTCGCATACAGTTTACGATGCATCTCGTCGTATCGCGACTCCATTCAATTTACTGACCGGCTACTTGGTCGCTGAATTTTATTCGAATTTCATTGAATTTTATTTACTTCTCATCGCACACGCGATTCTGTAAATTTACGAGGAAACTTCGATATGGGAAGGCGAACTTTGAAAATATTCGATGACTACGCGCACAACGAACTCATTCCATTCGTCGTTTTCCAAATTAGCTGACCGACTGCTGCTCGATCGGCTAGTTAATCTCGCGAAATGATAAACGTGAGAGGAGAAAGACGGCTGTCGAATGTTACCGTGCATTTACTTAATATTCACGCGTCTCAATCGAAACTGCTTTAATGGCTACTCGTCTGGAAGTCGATTCCTCTTGCAAACGCTTCGGAAGGCCCGATGAAGAAAGAGAACGAAGAAGAACCAGTCGTTTATCTGGCCGTTCGCCGACATCTACGTACACGCGGCGTCACGTGAGGTTTTTTCGAAAAATTTTAGAGTACCCTCGTACATTTCCACGTGCTAATTTTAAAGGAACCATTAACGCTACCCGCGTCCCCGGTCATTAAGATAAGAGTAAGTGCTACTAAGTGTCCCGTGGATAAGAGACGTGACCAGCATCTCTGTCGCATAGAGACGAGCCATTTTCGAGCGTGTCATCAAAACGACGCGAAACAGGTCCCCGTGTTTCGCATTGTTCGATCTTGCACGATGACGGCGAGTATAAGATGGAACGTTTATTTCAGCGAAGGACTTGGTGGCCGATTAAACTGTTCCGAATATGAATTCATTTAAACGAGAAACCCTAAGCAGAGCAGAGAATCGATGAACTCACGCTCTACCTATAAACCGGAAATTATAGTATGTTGGCTAGCAGTAAACCAGGTGCTTACGTATTTCTTATTCGACGCATTCAGATAAATGGAATATAGGAGTGTCTATGATTCTCCCGTGAGAATTCAATTGCTACGAGTCTTTTACATGTGTAAAATCACATTGATTATAAAATTGAAAAATTTGGAAAAATTGATTTTTTTATTTGTTCATGGAGGATCTTGCGTGGCAGAGTCGGGTATAGCGTAATTTGAATGAAATCGATCACAAACATCAGATATTTACGATAGATATCTTAAGAGATAAATAGCATTTCTATTTTTCTTCGCAACTGATTTTCTTCCTTTTACAAAAATGTTTCTACTCTCCTGGTTACTTCGACAATCTCGAGGATTCTCGTTACATCTGTCTGGCTCGATCGAAGATTATTCTTTGTTACAATCGCGTGCAATTTATTGTTTCGACGATCATTAGCCTCGCTCGTCTTGCTTCAATAAAAGTACATTTATTACGTATTATTTTGCATCCTGACGGCTCTATTATCCGCACGCGGTTCCTTAAATTTGCTTCACGAGAAACGTAGTCCAATTTCCTTGATTGTATTCCCTCTTGCTTTTTCTTACCTCGCTGTATCTCGCCAAAAAGCTGTTTTGAAATAACGTTTCTATCCTACCTTGTATAATTCTACGTAATTTATTAATTATCTAAAGACTAAGTAATTTTGTGTTCATTCGAGATTCATTTTTATCGCCAAGTTAAACTTGAATGATCAAGATGCTCGATTTCGAAGAATTCTTACTAACGAGTAACGATAACGATAAATGAAACACATTTCGACTATATTTCATCGAAATTTTTCACAAATATCTAGAGTGCCTGATTTTTATTACAAACACTTGATCGATATAAGCGAATGAATTAAAATAAATCGGTCTTTAAAGGATGTTCTTTGCCATTGTCGGAAATTAGGAGATCTCGTATAATTTTTACACGCGATAACCGAGTTATCGAGTATCGGACGAAACAACGAAAATGTGGCCGTATTCTTATTACGCAATGTGGATAGAACATAGACTAAACAGATAACTAAGTCCCAGATCGTTTCATTCGCGATAGAAATACCATGTAGACGTCCCATATAATTGTAATTTAGATTTCGTTTGCTTTACATTATGAATAAGGTAGATGTTATCTTGCGAATTATTTAAAATGCGAGATACGCAGGCAAACAAAATTCTAATATTTAAATACCACGTTCTCACGAAACAGATATTTTAAAATTGAACAAATATAAATGGAAAATGTATTCGCGATAGAAATGATAGGGCTAATGTTACCTTAAAAGCTCTGATACAACGTCCCAACGTCTGGCAAACACCGGAAGCACCTCGAAGAGCACAATATTGCAAATTCAAGATACTGTGAACCATGATCCTTGCAGGCTGCTTTATATAAGGAAATTCTCTCATACCCTTCGTTCGTAAAACTCATTAAAACACCCCTTCTCTTAGTCGTTTATACGATATTATTAAAAGTTTGGGATATCTATAGTTCCTATCAATAAGTGATAACGAAAGCAACAAAGTCGCTAATTATCGTTAGGTAACATCATCATAGTGAGCTCAGCAAACCGTAGGAAATTTTATAATAAATCCTTATTGAGAAGCAAGAAGTTTCTAAGGGGTCATTAAAACCTTAAAATAATCGTCTCGCTGATAGTTGCCGAAAGAACAAACGATACATACGGAAAATTTGATTTTAAGACAATGGAATGAATACTCCTGCGAAAATGTGATTTTCTCGATGCTTTGCAACTGTCAGAAACCTTTTCTATCTTCTATATTTTTTAATCAGGTGCGATAACTGACTGTTAGGTTTGACAAACGTTATATTCGTGGGTATTAAATAATATATCTGATCGAATAAAGGCTACAAAGTGGAATATATATAAAAGTAAAGATATGAAATAAATGAACAAATTTAGAAAATGATGCCTGACTGCAGATTTCTTAATCAGGTATCATTGGCTAATTGAATGTAATAATAATATACACAGGGGAACTCGAATTACAAAAAATGAAACCTGGCGGGTTCGTCGCATTACCTTGCGATGTATCTTTCATTCGGCCAACGCGTCCTTTGTTCTCTTGGATGAATCTTTTTGATGAAGAAATTTCAAATAAAGACAAGGAAGACGATTGTCTGATGATTACGAGATAAAAAGTGGAGAAATATTTTATTCAAATCATGGATCCAAAATTTATCTAATCGAATAGAAAATAGAAAGTAGTAGAATAGTTTTTGAAAGTGTTAAAATTCTGAAAACTTTCCAACAAAACTAATATGAATCCAACAGGTTTTTATTTTCAGCGATATGGGTTCAACGATTGAGCAATACCCCATTATATGATTTCTGCGTATACTCAACATACACAAGTTTGGCTGTATATTATTATTATGTCATCCGACAATATATAATGCGTTGAACCACATTGTACGATAAGATTTCCAATAAAAAAATTATCAATTTTTTTAAAATATATCGCCATCGAAATTAATCGCCAAATATATTCCAAATATCAGTTTTCTAACTGGTCTGGAAGTGGATGAAATTTTGCTTACAAAACTTCACCAACCAGATAGAGAAACAGACAAGTAAGCTAGATAAAAGCGACTAAAAATCAATGTCATCAATTTTATCAATCAATTTAAAAATCATTTCACAGAAAAATGTATATAATATTATAGGTATTAATGTTAAATAATCTTATAGGTATTAAAGATGTTAATAAGTATATTCCTTTTAAGAACAAAATCAAAATTTTGATGTTATATGTACTTAAAATTTATTGTTAGGACCATTTTATTATTTCAATGGATAGTGCGCCTAGTGCAATAAATAAATACATATATACATACATACATATAATATCATTTTATTATTTCAAATTAATTAAACTTGTTAACATGATCTTCTTATCTAACTAAGATATTACATTTAAATAAATTATTGTTCTTTTATATATAGAATTAATTTAAACAATAAATTAAATATCCAAATAACTTATCATATCAGGACTGTCATTAATAGTCATTTTTTAATAGTCATTAATAGTCATTAACAGTCACATCATTTTCTGATAGTATATATATCTACATATATATATGTGCTATTCATATAAATAAATAAATTAAAAGGATGTCATAATAACATTGTCAATGAATGCAATCAAATGTTCGTTAAACTAAATCCAATCTAGACAAATTAAAATATTAAATATAAAAAATTTAATGAATTGTAGTCCTATGTAAAAAATAGATACAGGAAAAGTACACTGTTTATTGTTTAACAATAACCTTTATTTTTCAATCATTGATAAAAGCTTCATGTATAAAACAGATCTTCCATACGATCGTAATATCTTTAAGGTACACTCAGTCTCCAAAGTCTACTATCATATTCTTTCCAACTGAGAGTTACATTTCTTACACACATTCATGTTAGAAAATAGTCAAAAACATGAACTTTATGTCACTTTTATAAAGAATATCAAGAATTTAAAAATATTTCAAACTTGAATCAATTAAAAATCACGCTATAATCCTGGTACAATGAAGCAGTTCTTAAATTCTTTGCACGAGCTACTACTATTAAGTTGAATAAACTTAAACTTTATCAAACAGTGATATTTTAAGAACATCATATCAAAAGACAAAATTCGTGATCTTCGTTATGCGTTCTTATTATGCGTACACATACTACTGAGTATTCATTCATTTACAATTATGAAAACATGTTTCATAAAAGGAATTACATTAATTGTCCTACCCATTGTGTTAACAAGCCTGTGCTAATGTTTTCATCTATTAAGAATATTCGTACAGCTTTCTATGGCACAATCTAAAATATAAAGTCAATGGATGATTTTAATATCGCAATAAACTCATCTAGAAAACTAAACAAATAATTTTGAATAAGTTTACAATCATATAATATGGCGCTGCATTGTGCCTAAGCATCTTAAATTAAAATTATAATCTATCTTTTTCTTTCTACTAAAGAGGAGCTTAAACATGGTCTTCCTTTAAAAAAAGATTAAATCTAAATATATATATATAATATTGAGTTGCAAACTGTACCTGCATTTCTAATTGAAAATTCTATAATTTATGCATTTTTTACAAATTTCATATAAAACATAAAATTATTATTATATATATTTGCACGACCTATATTTGGAATAAATTCATAATTAATAGTTTAAGAATTGCATCTCCTAAAAAATTTTTAAACTCACGCAACGTATATTAAACAATTCTTCTTTACCAAATAATTTTGTAAATTAAGATTATAATTACTTATGCATTAATTATTTCAGTCCACTATACAAAGTATTATAAAAACAAATTAAATAAATTCTTTGTACTTCTATATCCTATACCTTATAAAATAAGGAAACTCTAAAATAAATCATTCATAGTTATATAAACGTAAAAGCATAAAAATAGAATGGTGAACAGTTGCCCACAACTTCTTAAAAATAGATTCAACTCTAAGTTCAAGCCTAGTTTACTTATTTATGTTTGATTTTACTATATACCTATCTAAATTAATAAAAAAATATAAATTTTACGTATATAAAATGTGATATATACGTTCCAATAATTTGTCTTTTATAACTTTAATGAAATACTACATATTCTGTATTTACATTAAAAGTATAGTTAGATCATCGCTTCATGAAAATTTTAATATTATCTTATCTACCATTTTTTGTCAGTTTACAACCCAATATTTTTATCAGCGTCAGTATATAGAATACTATCTTTGGTTAGCTCATCTATATATGTTTTAATTGTAATAATGCTCTTTAAAAAAGATAGTATTACTTTCTAAAAATTAATTTGTAACACGAAACTAATATTTTTGTAAGTTTAAAAATGTTTGATACGTTCGTTTTGTTGCTTACATAATCCTGTAATGACAAATTGAAAATATTGCAGTATTTTGATGGTGTAAACAAGCTGATTAATCAAACATATTATCTTGTCATTAATATCATCCAAAATGTTACATGACACCTTCATTGTACACAGTGCACATTGAAAAATATTCAGTCTATTTTCACACATCACTTGAGAAAGAGTCATTCATTGTCAAGTTAGCTGAAGAATTTCTACTATCAGCTGAATTCATTGCAATATAACGTCTTCTAAGTATTTCTTGTAAATCATTGCATGGACTGTTGTCACGCTTTATACGAAGTGGTCGTCCTCCAGGTGATCTAAGAAAATATACACCAATAATATACACCATTCATTTATAAACCAATACAATTTATAACTGTATTAACAAATAATTATAAATGTAAAACATAATTTACCTAGAAATTGGCTTTAATTTAATGCTGTCAATGTCCTTCAATACGTCTGTCATAGATGTTTGAGAAGCAAATGGGCCTCTTTTGCGATCTTCAACTTTATGATCTTGTAAACTTGCTCTTCTTGCAATATGAGGAGTTGGTGGTGGTAGTGGTGGTGGTGGTGGAGGTGGGGGTGGTTGATTTGACTCTATTATATTTTCACTATCCATTCCATTTGTTAAAGAACCAGTAGATGTATCTGCACAAAACTTTAGTTAAAATAGGTTTGAAACATAAATAATGAAAAAGATATTATATATATACATACGCCTAGATTGTTTATTACTTTTAACTATTGCTGAAACTTGTTCCCTAAGTTCCTGAAGCTCCTGTTCCAGAGCAAGTAATCGAACTTCAGATCCAAAACTAATAGGCTCCAATAAATCTGGCCTGACATTAGACATTCTAATATTGAAACATTATCAAATTAATCTGTTGAATTAGTGGAAAAAAGAAATTCAATAAATGTATATAGAAACCTTGCAGGACCATATCCATTTGTATCTGCATAATTATTACTAGTTTCTTCGTTAATCATAGAACTTGTCATTGAATGTAAAGGTGTAACACTGACATATATTTTTGGTGGGGGTTTCAAAGGTAACATTGAACCAATTCTACGAACAATGCTCCTTCTTTTTCCATAATATTTTGGTGGTTCATTTATCTAAAACAAATATTAAAATTTTGTTTATTTAGAAGTAGATAAAATTGTTAATGAATGAAAAAGTATAACTAAATTTCTTTTAAATATCAATTTAAAATAAGAATGCATTTCATGTAAATTTGTTAAATATTATCAGTTAATGAATTGCATGGTTAGTAACACATGGTAATCATATACATACTCGCTTTCTATACAACAAAAAATAATTTCTTACCTTCGACATTATTTTTCGTTTTTCTATTTTTTATTTTGCTACCCAACTATTGAAATGAAATACTAATGTATACCGAACATTTAATAGAGTATATCAGGGCCATCCAAAATTCGAAATTAAAATAGCTTTCTTACCACTGACGCAAGGCCAACATCTGACGACAGGTTGTCGTAACTCGAAAGCGCAAACTCCAATGAAAAGCGGCTTTAAGTAAAACAATTGCAGTGCAATTACAGTTTTTATAGCAAAATTCACTACAATCCTTGTTTATTCTTCTTTGTATCTGTAATTGCAATCATAAAATATTCTTTGTATATACCAATATTAATTACAAATTAGTAATTTCTTAGAATATGATATTGCTGTCCATACACTTAATATTGTGTTTCATTTATTTTTATTATTTTCCAAAATCATAATATTTATTCGTAATAATAATTATAGATAAAGGAATGAAAAATTCCTTATACAATTTATAATAAATAATTATTATTTATAATACTAATTAAATAAAATAATTTGTAAAATATCGATAGTAATTAATAACCAGGAATTTTTAATATCAACGGTTGAAGTTATGATACTGTTACTGTTACAATAAATTATTATTTTCAAATAAATTAAATACTTTACAAAAATCTTCATGTTTTTCTAATTCTAATATCATATTCATGAACAAAATTTAAAAATTTCATGCATTAAAATATTAAATGAATGAAATTAATAATTTAATTTAAGAAATATTTACATGAAAAATATGTACTTCCAATATCCAATCATTTAAGGAAAATTCTTTGTAACAGTAATTTTATTTGTATTTGTTAATATCACGTTCTATTTCTGTACCAAAAACTTTTAACACATTTGTATCATATACATATGTTTGCTCCTCTTTTTCCCATATGATAAACAACAAACAAATCATG